CGGCTTGAATGAGTAATTAAGAAAAACTTTAATATAAATTTAACATAACAGCAAAAGTACAAACTTTCGACAAGGGTTTGTCATCATTACGTATGTTAAACTTATATTAAGGTTTTTCTTCATTACCTATTCAAGCCGTCTCCAAACATTATTAGTCTCCAAGTGGGTTCCTCGTAATCGAAATTAACTGTTGTGAGGTTCAGTTATAATAAACCTGGTGGCACAGGACGGAACCAAATGCTGTCTACTACGTTACTTAAAATGTACCCCCCCCCCAGTGGCACAGTGGTATGTCTGCGGAAATACAACGCTAGAATCCGGGTTTCGATACCCGTGGTGGGCAGAGCACAGATAGCCTATTGTGTAGCTTTGTGCTTAATTACAAACAAACATACTTAAAATGTAATTTATTTTTGAAATTCTGGGTTTTCTTTTAATTGAGTTTGGAGGAGCCCCCAGTAGCACAACAGTTTAGAGGATTCCTAGGTTATTCAAGTAAACATATTTTGATTCTTTCCCTCTTGCTGTGACGTTGTTCGTTAATTAGTTAATGTGCAGCATTTGTTAGGGTGCAGCTATTAACGATATTAGCTTTCATTAGTGTTCGTTTTATACTAGTATACATTTTAAAATACAACACAGAACTATTAGATATGATTATTTTTGTTGTATTTGAAATGAACACGCTAATTGTCGAAACATTCGAAAGTTCCAACTGTCCACTGTAAACTGTAAATATATTTAAGTATTACTATTTGGTTGAAAAAAAACTTCTTATTTATACAGATTTTTGTAGGTTTCCTCAATAGACATTGAGCTTGTTATCATTAAAACATCTACGTTATGAATTCAAAACAGAAAATTGTCTGGTTTGTATCATAAGTAATACTGTTCGATCATTACATTTAATTACTTATGCTAATTACTAAGTATATATATGTTTAGTTCTGTTCTATGTAGGTAACATACTTTTATCAGAAGATAATATGAATTAGGATTTAGGAATAGCCCTGATGTTTATTCGAACTGTTAATTCCAACTCGACACTGTTATCATTGTTTCAAAATAGGATTTCTAACTAGCTTGCGATTCTGTGTAATATGATCTTTTCATTAGCCTTATAAATCTCTGGATCTGCTGGAGAAGGTATAGCGAAGTTATAGACACATATAACTTATCTCAGACCTTTCAGTCTTGCTACACCACTAAACATATTTTTCCAATTACCAATAAATGAAACCATATAACCCGAACGCTTTCTAAAGGTGGACATTTCTTCTTCAAGGGCAAGGTATCTAACAGTCTTCTATGTCTCTCTATGGCTTCTTTAAGTAGGTTTCGATTTATTATTTCAACTAATATATCTGTGAGTGGTGGGAAAAAAGTATCCTAAGGGTAATTTTAATTTAATAATTATATGGTATCAAAACGTAGTTGTAAGAATCCTGAGAATACAAAACGTAGTCGAGTTTGGTAATTAACAGCATGTGCAGTTTGTGTTTTTAAAAAAAAATCAACAAAATTGAACTTATTAATATAAGTTAGTAAGTTAACAAAGTACACTCACGCACTAGATAACTGGTCCCTAAGGTACGACCCTTCTTGAACTGCGATAGCCATTGGTTTGCGGCTAAATTCGTTTCCTACTACCTGCAAGTCACAGTCTGAGTAAGCTGCGTACTTAACTTGAGTGGAGTCGGCTGTTGAGAAGAAAATGCTGTTTAACTTTTCTATTCCTTTAGAAGTTAGATTTATAATCTTACTTTTAAGTGATATTGCTAATTAATCAATATCTACACCAAATTCTAAGTAATTATTTATCAAATGGTGATAACCTGATTAATCACAGATAAGAAAAAACGCGGACGAAAGGATTTTTGTATTTAATAAATAAATTAAATTATAGATTAATGGATTTTTTGTAGGAACATTTCTTGTTTGAAAAAAATTGGTCAAAATAAACAAGCAATTAACATAATATCTATAACGTGACATGAAACATACTTAACATTATCCTGCAAAGATTCACACTTTAAGCTATAAGACTGTGAAGTATGTAGCAAGTAGGTTGACAATAGCCTAGTTGAAATGATAGATACTTAACATTATCCTGCAAAGATTCACACATTAAGCTATAAGACTGTGAAATATGTAGCAAGTAGGTTGACGATAGCCTAGTTGAAATGATAGATACTTAACATTATCCTGCAAAGATTCACACATTAAGCTATAAGACTGTGAAATATGTAGCAAGTAGGTTGACGATAGCCTAGTTGAAATGATAGATACTTAACATTATCCTGCAAAGATTCACACATTAAGCTATAAGACTGTGAAGTATGTAGCAAGTAGGTTGACGATAACCTACTTGACATGAAACATACTTAACATTATCCTGCAAAGATTCACCCTTTAAGCTATAGGAATGTGGAACATATAGCAGCTAACTTGACAATAGCCTACTTTTCGGTGATTGCATGCGTTTTCTGTATTGTTATTTTATTCTAGGATCTATGAAATTTTCTTATAAACATATCGTCCAGAAAATCGTAAAGTTTTCTTTGTTTCTCTTTTGTCCTTTACAGATAATAGTTGCTTCGCTTGCGGTGGATATTGATGTAACAAGGTCAAGCTCCGCAGTGTCTGTCACACGTAGAGCAGATGATATGTAAAGATTACGACCTCTTTTCATGAGAATGACCAGCCACGTGGTAATACTATTCGCTATAGGCAAATCAAAAGTTTCTGTTAGTTAAAAATTACTACATAGGATCTCAAATTAGTAATTTTATGGGAAAAAAATCTGATCAAATCGCAAGTATAGTAGCAGGTATAGTACAGCGTCCAGAAATCAAGTATGCACACTGCATCTGTCTATCGAATTAAATAACGATTGCTTTCATTTTTTATAATTCATCATGCCTAGTATGTTTTCTAATTGAACTCGGTTATTCTAGTTAAATTCACAATCACTTCGTAACTTATCCTGCTGATCCTCCTGTTATAAAGTGGACCTATGTAACACTTTGAAAATATCGCAGAAAGGAAAGAGAAAATTTGATGCAGTAACCAAAGATTATACTGTTTTTGCTAACGTGCATATTGCCTTTAGCTGAACTGTTGAGTTCAACAAGTTTAAAATGAAAGCTTCTTACTGAAAGCATGACATTTTAAGACTACTGAAACCATCCAAGTATAACACAAAATGTCTGGACTGTGTTTGTCTATAGAATTAGATAAATATTGCTTTTATTTGTATAACACAAAGTGTCTGGTCTGTATTTCTTTATAGAATTAAATAAAGATTGCTTTCATTAGTATAACACAAAGTGTTCGGTCTATTTAATCCTTTTGAATTATATAAATATTACTTTCATTAGTATAACACAAAGTGTCCGGTCTTTAGTAAATAAGTATTTCTTTCGTTAGTGTAACACAAAGTGTAACAAACTTTCTTCTCCTGTTATAAAGCGAACTTACCTCTTATTCTTAGACGAATACCTTCACTCTCCTAAAATTTCTTACAGTTTAAAGGGTAAGTTGTTAGGTTACGTAGCATGAAGCAGGCTGGGTTAATGAAGCTTAATTTTAATGAATTTATTTTTATAGGCAGTTACTACCAAGTGTTTAGTAAAGGTGCAAAACTGAATTCACTTCAATGTTCTTTTACAAATGTAAATATCTGTACTATTGTTGTATGCCAACCGTTGTTGCTTTTTGTGTCTCTGGGACATCTGAGATAATATAAATCATTTCAAAAAGAAGGAATGGCCATTGAGAGAGAGAATTAAATACCAGGAAAACAGAATATTGAGCATCAATGTTTAGTGAAACCCCAAAATGTGTTCTGGCCCACTTTATATTAAACTGGGACTCATGAAGAATTTTGTAAAAGGTATGAACAAAGATTGTAATGGTTTCAGGTATCTGTCTGATAAATATCCAAAAATCAGTGAAGTAAAAATGAAAGGAGGTATCATTGTTGGGCCACAGATTCAGGCAATGCTGATGGATGGTGATTTTGAAACAGTAGTCAATCAGAAAGAACTTGCTGCCTGGAAATCATTCAAACTGGTTGTCAAAAATTTATTAGAAAATCACAAAGATGAAAACTATGCTGTGATGACTGGCGATATGCTCAAGAACTACAGGAAAATGGGGTTTAGATGCACTTCTTACACTCACATTTACACTTCTTTCCAAATGATCTAGGTGCAGTAAGTAATGAGCATGACGAGTGCTTCGACCAAGATATTGCTACAATGGAATAGTGATATCAAGGACCATGGAATCATGTGATGATGTGAAATTACTGTTGGTTCTTACAGTGGAAAACTGAGAACGTACGCAAAAGGCACAACAGGTTTAGCAGATATTTTGTTACAAAAACTAAAAAATAATATCATGAAAGTTCTGGACATATTTGTTTGTATGAAATTAAGCACAAAGCTACACAATGGGCTATCTGTGCTTTGCCTACCACGGGTATCGAAACCTGGTTTTTAGCGTTGTAAGTCCGCAGACATACCGCTGTGCCACTTATCATCTTCATCGCTTTTTAAAACTAGTATTGCTATCATGTATTGTTTTTGGACACTGAATAAATATAGTTATTAAAGAAAATGTTTTTATTTTCACGATATATAAAAATATTTTGAACTAATATGGACTGAAGTTATGTAAATTCATGATTAATGAAAGATTATCTTTCATGCCAAATTTGGTGAAGATCCCTCAACGAAGTAGTGGTAGAAAAACAAAAACTCCCATAAAAACCGCAAAACGCAAAACTGAAATTTGTATGTATCCCCGCATGGACCTAATGAGCTTCCATACCAATTTTGGTGAAGATCCATCCACGCCCTGCGAAGTAGTTACATGAACATAAAACAGACAACAGACACTATTATTATATTTATATAAATAAATCTATCAGAACTCGAAAATTAGAGGTGATCAGTAATTTTCAAGATATTTTTTTAAAATCGTCAAATTACTCATAAACAGTTGCATTTTTCCAGAGCAGAGAAATTATTTTTTGTTGCGCGATAATTGGTTATAGTGTTATGCGATTTCTGATTTTGAAGGCTAAGTTATTAAAGCGTAAAAGATTATTAAGGATAAGACCTTCTATATAAGTACTATCTAACTTTTTTTAATCCATGGACTCACATTGTGAATAATTATTTTAACTAATTTGAAAAGAATATTTCTATTGGTTAGTTGTCTAAGATGTATTTTTAAAAGTCGAGATAAGAGTGAGAGTCATTTGGCTATTGAAAAATATCGGTCACCATCGTTTTTAATAATTAAAATGACAAAAAATAAACTTCATGTTTACTGTAATCATACTTGAATTCAACGTTTTCGTCAAGATCGCTTAATTTTCCAAAAATAGGTCAAAATGTATATATTTTTTGTTCAATTATTACATAAATTAAATAAATTATATAATTCTTTACCTGTTATTTCTAATGTAAAGGTTGTCCACATGACATTTACATTAGAAATAACTGGTACAGAATTATGTGAAGGTTGTCCACATGACCAAGTCCCTTTTAAACTATCCTATACATCCACGTCTAGAAAATCAATAACAATCGTAAAATGAATGAATATAATCTCTTGCTGTTGTTGTGTTATTTACAACTTTATCCAGACAAATTCAGTAGTTAGGAGTGCTTATATTGTTGCAGCATTCCTTACAGAATGTTGTATGTTTGCTACTTTATATAGGAGTCGGAAGTAGAGACGAGTCACTTTAGTTTTGTCTCATATTGAAGTGTTGCTTCATAGTAAACCTTTGCATTAAAGTCAGAAGTAGAGAGAATAGTCACTTTAGTTTTGTCTCATATTGAAGTGTTGCTTCATAGTAAACCTTTGCATTAAAGTCAGAAGTAGAGAGAATAGTCACTTTAGTTTTGTCTTACATTGAAGTACTGCTTCATAGTAAAACTTTACATTATAGTCAGAAGTAGAGAGATTAGTCCCTTTAGTTTTGTTTTACATTGAAGTACTGCTTCATAGTAAAACTTTACATTAAAGTCAGAAGTAGAGAGATTAGTCCCTTTAGTTTTGTTTTACATTGAAGTACTGCTTCATAGTAAAACTTTACATTATAGTCAGAAGTAGAGAGATTAGTCACTTTAGTTTTGTTTTACATTGAAGTACTGCTTCATAGTAAAACTTTACATTAAAGTACAAATATGGGTACCCACGTTAAAAGCCTGAAAAGTTACTTAAAATTGTGGTTTTCACTCAACCTTGACATATTTAAAATTTCTATGTAGCTACTGTTATTTACTCATGTATCAACATAGGCGTCTGTCCTAAAGCCTAAATTTAATTTAAGTAGGTTAAAAGACAGATCACTAACTAACCAATGAAAGCAAAACCCTCGTGGGACCCTTTAGATTCTTTCACTCTCTGAACTCCTTCTTCAAAAGTGAGGGGCATGTTAGCTTCCTTTATTGTGAGCCAGATCTTGGTGTACTTGTCACTGATGGGGTAGTCCCAAACAGCTAGCTTGGCTCGTTCTGTGATACTTAGAGAGTCATTCAGTGACATATCTTTCCAGATTCTAAAATGAAAGAGAAGTCAAATGTGCTAGCTTTCCTTAGAAATATTTCAATAAAATCAATAACTCATTTGACAATTAAAATGACATGATTACGCTAAAAAATATTACTAAACTTGATATGATTTGTCCATCAGTTTATTCCTGGTAAAATGATTAAATTATTCATAGACATATCGAATAAACAATATATAACTCCGAATAACACTGCAGTGCTTCAAAACAAGCATTTCTTAACGATAACACAACTAATATTATGAACATTTTGTGACAAGAAAGTCAAATCTTTAGGGTCTCTGTCTGAAGTAATACTCTTAACAACTGGTGGGAAAAAGATGAAATACGTTACTATTTTGAGGTATTGCTATAAACAACCGGTGAAAGCAGATAAAACACGTTAAGATTCAGTGATCTCAAAATTTTTCATAAGCACAGAAAATCTGCTGAAACTCGTTCTAGTATTGTACTCTCAACACCTGGTTACAGAAAAAGGTGAATTTGTGTTGAGGTTTGTTGTGCAGACCTACTCTAAAGAAGTGGTAAACATGTAAACTCACTCTCAGCTGTAATAATGTACCAACTGGTGACAAATACGTAAAATTAGTTAATACTAAATATAATATTGTTATAGCTGAAATAGCAACTAAATTCATAGCTAGTATAGATAACGTATATATATATTTTAAACCATTTTATGAATTTCCTTGCATGTAATCAATCGCACTCATGTCAACTGGATCTTACAAGGTAGTAAACACGTGCAATTTTTTCTATACAGGTGAAGGTTACATTCTGCAACCTAAGTCCCAAGTTAGCCTGAAGTATTCTACTTTTTATTTTAATATAGTATTTTTCAGAATTTTACAGTTATTCTGGTACCTCGTAAAGAAACTTGTTATATTGTTTCCACTCTAGCTAACATTGTTCTTTGTTATTTGCCCCCCAGTGGCACAGTAGTATGTCTGCGGACTTACAACGCTAGAATCCGAGTTTTGATACCCGTGGTGGGCAGAGCACAGATAGCCCATTGTGTAGCTTTGTGCTTAATTACAAATAAACAATAAATAATCTTTGTTATTCCCTTTCAATAACACCTGGTATGCATTTTGTGGTTACGGCTGTAAAGCTGAATTTTAGGCATGAATTTCGACAGTAGTACCTTCCAGTACTAGTTCACGTGATACCTTAACACCAAGATCTCTGTTAAACTTATGTGCATGGGTCGATCCGATGGACAAACGCTATATTAGAAAATTATTGTTTACTATAATTCTGAATTTACTATTTGATAATGTTTTGGTAAAATGAAAAGTTTATTGTACATAAATAATCACAATTGTTAATAAAGTAGTTCAACCAAAAATTTGTTTGTGACTTTAATAATTTGTCTAACCCAGACTCAGACTATTCTGATATCAAGATGATTTCCAAGTTAAGAATATAAATACTCTTTTCATCTTACAATTTTCATATTTCATTTTAATAATCTCTAGAGCCTCCTAAATGAATATCTAAAGTTATTTTTTGGTCTGCTATTTGCAGATTATCAGTGAACATTACAAGTCTTTCGTACGCAAAATATGAGATTTTTATCATATTTTAAGATATTTTAAGTAATGTTTTTCTTATGCAGTTTTTTTTCGAAAGTTGACTATCCAACATGCTAAATAAATTTGATTTTAAGATTAAAAATACTTTTATGCATTAGAAAATTTTCAAATTTCATATGCGAAATATTTATAACCTCCAGATAATTATCAAACTTTTTTTTAGAAAAAAAAACATTATATTTCATCTGTTATTTTCAATATTATATCTCTGTACGGATTCAATCGATTTGACCGACCTCGTAACCATAAAAAGTAGGAAATATATATAAATCAAGGTTTTTCCTTCTAGAATGACTGCAAACTCTAACACGAAAATGAAAATGTTTAGTCTAAATAGCTTAAATCTCGTAATATTATACACCTATATATATTATTATTGACCTTTCAGCCGTGCTTGACTAACATTATGGAAGTTACAATGACCCGGCGTACGTGCACTCACGTTACAGTATTCCCAGTGTATAAAAATTTCCTTTACAAAGTGACCTCTTTTGGCTGTGTTCTAGTGGAACAGTATTTTGTAAAATGTAGTCACATTTCAGTCACGATGCATTATATATCTATCAATATTATTATTACTTACAAATAAGCTCTTAAGTTTCAATAAATTTTCTTAAAACATAGAACAGTAAATAAAGAAATATTGAAAACAATTATCTCTCTAGTTACAAACGTGTGTGCTACTTGCCGTAAGTTGCTGTACCTAATCAAATTTCGCACGTGGTGGACATAAAATGAATTATTTCTTAGCTTCTATATATATATATATATATACTTTAACCCTACCGACATCGCGTTTGTAGATTCGCATTCAAAATTTCATTGAACTACTATTTTATGAATGTATGTCAAGAAGTTTGGTATCAAATTGGAGATTATAATTTCTTAATTTAGAATCAAATATTAAAAAAATTCTAAATATCAATTTTTGTGGGTCACGTGGTATGTTGAATGTAGCATTGGTTCAAATTAGATGTTTGTGATGTCTGTAGTGGCTTACAATTAGATAGTCAAATTACCGATATTTATAAACTAGAATGTAAGATAAGAACCTCCTACCCTTTCTATTTTTAGATATATTAATATATTTATTGACTCAACAAAGGTGGCCCCGCCCACTTCTTCAATTTTTGAAAATACTTTCTTACGTACACCTACTTCGCCCAATGACGTGTGTAGAACCATTCGAAAGCTAAGTCCCTAGTGGTTTTCTCAGACTCTGCAAAGTATTTGCGCGGAAACTCTTTCTTTTCATGCTAGATTCCAAGCGGTAAGGTAAGTCTTTAGTGAACTCGAAAAATCATATTTTTTCAGACCCAAATACAGCTTATTTACATCTTAATAAATTATAGTAGAATTCTATGGTATTTATATAGTAATTTATTATTATTTGTTACTTTAACAGTTTTTAGCGTATTTACTGAAAAATCATACAAGTCCTTTCATTACATTCATTCTAAAGGTGAAATCTTGTATTTTATTTTTTCACAATAACTTGTACCAAGCATGGTACGGAATCAGGTGTATCTTTTCGTAGTTGTTGCCATTTTTATTATGACAGTGAAAAAATTGCCACTTTTGGGGTGTAAGAGCAGGAAGGCAAGGGCTTGAATTCACCCAGCCTTATGCTCGTCACTGGTTTCAAAGCAAGGCACCATGTTAAAAATAAGGGATATAAGAAACTTTTCTCCAGTCGTTTTTAACGAGATAATATCTGGTCAGTCAAACAAGTGAGTATTTTACATAATAACCTTTAGACTATAAAGTTGAAGATTGTCGCGGATGTATGTTTTAAGTAATATAAAAGGTAAGATTTCATCCTATGTGAAACAAATAATATTGTTTGGATTAGGCTAATCATTTATAACTTTGTACATATCGGAATGCGAACTTGGTGTTTACCATATCTAAACCAAACCGAAACTGTAAATGAACATGAATCGAAACTTGAACCATTCTTTAGCTGTGGACAGTCATAAAACACACAAAAGATCTACGACAAATATTTAAATTACAACACACTTGAAGGAAAGCGTCTAGAATTCTTTATCTTATATTCATGAAATTTAAACTATGGGCTATATCACGAGACGAAGTAACTTCTTTTTAGTGGGTATTGAGAAACGAACCATCTTTCATGTGTTATTTTTAATAAATTTATATTTATTGCAAGTTTGTGAGTCTAAAACTGCTATTAATGTCTGAGGACAAATCTTTTTACTGATTAGGTGTATCAACAACCTAGTAAAGATTTAGTGCTTTAATTTTTTACAGAAACAGTTTTATAAACATAGAAGTGTTATCCGTTTTCAAAACGTCAAAAGGCAAGAGTTACGTAATGTTACGACAGCGGAAGTCACACTACGCTGGGAGCATTCGCGCTGGAGTTTCTCGAAAGATCATGAATTT